TATATAATAAAATTATTCCTCAAAAATACAACTTGCCTAATAATTCTGCACTTCCTGTATATGTGTATGTATACAAAATCTGTTTTTATTTATTCATTCCTTAAGGAAATTATGTAATTATTCTTACTTTTAGACTCTTAAAGGTCACCACGACTCTTCTTTGTTTATTTTTAATATCATAGTTTTATCTTTCTTTTTAAGATCTGCTGCTCTGCTTCCAGTCCATCAGTCACACTGGTGCGATGCCTCCAACACCAACCCTTTCATGTGAACATGCTCACTCATATGTTGGGAAACTCTGGGTTGACCTATTGAGTTGATAACCACTTTTGTTTGATTGCTTAGCCTGACCTACAATTCTCTGGATACCGTTTGGCTCTAAACACGTCTTGCACTTAAAGGCAGTAACGTACGACATGAGTAGCTACAGCAGTTTCGCCTTTAAGCTTAACCCTTTAATGTTTGGACAGCAGCCACTGCATTCTGTCAATGATCTCAAATATGTGTACGTCTGAGGAGGCGAGTTGTTTGTGTTGTTTGTGCAACACAAACAACAGTTTTGAAAATGAAATTCCAAAATCACACCATGCGTATTTTGCATTGACATGATTGTACATTGCTAAGACTGGCTGTAGTTCAGACCGGGCTTAAATTTGTTCGAGGGGCTTATGTGAAGTCCAATTTAAAGACCAGTCTTAACAAAGGCCAACTTTGAAGTTAAGACCAGGCTTGGTAAAAACCAGCTGGTGGATACGTCACACTATCTGCATTATAGTTTAATGGAGTCCCTCCACTACCAACCCAAAGACACGGACCACTTTTAATTTTAACACACCTGACTGAATTGTGCAGATTCTGAAATAAATCTAACTCAGTGTCACTTCTCTTTCGAGTGAATGCTCTCTACTTTGTTTTGCTTTCAGTTTCTGCCACTCTCACCCTTCTACATTTATTTCACTGCCTTCCATCGGCTGCAGCAGCGAGCCTTAATTTTCCTGGTGATTATGCTGGATTATTTGGTGTCAGACAATGTTGAGACTAACAAAGGGCTTTGTGGTTTACTCAGACTTAAAATGTCTTTGTGAAAGTTTTCAGGATTTCGGATTATTACAAATTGCATTTAAATTTCACCCTGTCTCTCAAAAAAGGAGGATTTATGAAAATATTGTATGATATGCTTGAGGTGGATAATCTTTCCCCAGAATTATTTTAAGTCATTTGTGTTTTTATGATCTCAGGTGTCCAGCATATTAAAAGGCAGGATATTGTTCTGAAGTGGGAGCTGGGGGAAGGAGCGTTTGGCAAAGTCTACCTGGCAGAGTGTGCAAACCTCAGCCCCGACAACGACAAGATGCTCGTAGCCATCAAGGTGAGTAGCTGCCAAAAAGAAAAAATCCTCTCCGCCGTTTTTAAAAGGTAATTTAACCATTAATCCGGCTTTGTTCATTGGCATCGGTAGTGAAAATGTCAGCAGTTAGCATGAGGTCTGAGCAGCAGAGCATGTTGAAGTGATTGACAAAACTACAACGCACAAAAAAGATTATTACTGCAGCATTTGGCTTTTAAACCTCATCCTGGTGCTTTTAGACCTGATTAGCTTATTTAATAAAATTGAGCGTAACATCAAGTTCCTTTTTTTTTTTCTATGCAAACGGTAAAATTCACTGTTCTCATATCACTGGTTTGCAGTTTGAGACTTTAGAACAATATCTGAGTGTCAGTCTGCTTTTTATCCTACGCTATGTTAAAAAAAACAAAAAACCCTAAAGTCCTCATTAAGGCTCTCAGCACTAACAAACATGACGGTACAGTGCACTTACAGTTAATACTCACATGCTGAAATTACATCCTGCGGTTTCAGAGAGTTGTTTTTGTTTAAGAACAGTCAGCTGATGTACTACGCGGCTCATGTTACGACAGGTTAATGCAAACCGCAGCGGATTAAAAAACGCGATGGTGAATATGGCTCGGCTCAGATTTATCATCCCATTAATCAGACGTATGCTTTTATAACACATCGTCAATGAGCTGAGGAGGGAAAGTCAAGGCCCAGACAAAGAATGAAACTGTTTTTAAAATGTATGAACCACACAGTCTCCTTTTATGCTCCACACTGTAAGTTGATTTTGGAACTTTTGAAATTTTAAAAGGAAAAATTTACATTTTTGTTTTTCACCTGCACTAGCTTTGAACTGTGACACTAACTGTCACAGTTCAAAGTCATTTGTATTTGTGTATTTTGCTATAAATCCAACACTCTGCTTTTTATTTATTTATTCTTTTTTAATGCTTTTCTTTACCCCTGTCTAAAAGCTCAAACGCAGTCCCTGACAGGTTGTGGCATGTGTCTGAATGACAGAAGCAGCGACGACTTTAGCCAACAAGAATAGCAAAACTAACATATGTCTGGGAACATTAACTTTACTTTCTTTGTTTTTTGCTCCTTGCAAACAAAATATCAGATCAGCTGCTCTGCTCACAGCCGGAGCTGCTGGTCTGAGGGATCCACTCATGACATCACACAGAGCCAAGAACAGAAAAAACTGCCTCAAGTCTGATATGTTTGACCAAAAAATGAGGAAAACCATAAAGGGGTCATTTTAAATAATGAGTTAACGTTTTACTCTCTCAACTAGAATGAGGGCCTCTCATCAGAAACTTTTATTCATTTATCTATATATATTTATTTATTCATTTATTTAGTTTTCTTTATGTGCAGAAGTATTATTCAGATATTTATTATAGTTCAATAAGTTAGAAATTAAATCTAAAAATGCATTTTTATAATGCCAGACAGATTGAACATCCTCATCTTTTTTCCACATTTTTCCTTCAGAGATTTTGGTGTCAAAATTATATCACACGACAGTTTCACAAGAGTGTTGTTGTATTGTCATATTGTATTTATAAAATAATTTACAAACAAAAATAAAAACAATAATAATTACATTTAAGTAAAGCCTCATTATTATGTCATAACAAATGAATACATTCAGTTGTTTGTCACATAAGTGAGTAACTAATATTATTTCCTTAGCTGTGTGATAAGGAGGCAGCTGTAACGTCACAGTAAAGAAGAAGACTCTGAATTTGAATACAGTGTTGTTCATTTTTGACCCCCCAAAAAAGCAGTAAATAAGGACCAGAGCTGCAGCTGAGTGCTACAATATAGCTTCTAGTGTTAATGGAAAAGTACAATCTGCACGTATTCACAGACTCTGAAGGACGCAAATGAGTCCACCCGGCAGGACTTCCAGCGGGAGGCGGAGCTGCTGACGGTGCTCCAACACCAGCACATTGTGCGGTTCTACGGCGTCTGTACCGACGGAGAGCCGCTGGCCATGGTGTTTGAATACATGAGGCACGGAGACCTGAACCGCTTTCTTCGGTATGTAACAGTACAAACTCCACATCAGACCATGCCTGCTGAACAAAATGCTGATCCTTTCTGTGATCATAAAGTGTGTTGTAGATTTTCCCAACAAATATTAGCCTTTGAATATGTTCCTCGTCTGTGTGGCTCAGAAAAAGTACTGGATGAAAGGCAGCAGAGGCGGCAACAAAAGAAGTTATTACAAACACCTCATTGCCTTTTTTCACAGCAGACTCGTCAGAAGCCCCGAAAATCTCAGTAAGGAAGTGTCTCAGCGAGCCATCAAAGTGTGACAGTGTTACAGCAGCAACACAAACGGAAGCAGATAAATATGATTCAGTCATCACTAAAGCTAAGATGAATAGCTGATTAATCAGTTATTTGATTAAATAAATGTTTTATCCTTGATTAATTGCTGCCATTTACAAGCTGAAGTATTTTTAAAGAGCAAGTGCTAAAAGAAAAACTGTTTCTGGCTGTGACATGTGAATGTTTGCTGATTTGTTCGGCTGATTTACTGCATTTGGAAGGTTTGTAGGTTTTTTCACATGTTGCTATGTTTGAGACTCATTTGATGCTTGATTCAGCTTTTACAATTATTTCATCTAAACTTCATAAAAGACTAAGAGAGTACTCGTACCCTCCCATTGGTACTTGGATAAAGCAGTTTGTCATTGAATTCATCAGGAGATCAGATTTGCCCTTGTGTAAGAATCATTGAGGTGAATAGTATGAAATATTGATACATTTATTAGTTTTTTTTTACTAATTTCACTTGATATCAAAGACAACTCTACTCCCCCAGAGTTTCGTAAGTTCTCTCACATTGTCTCTCCAGATAAGGAAAGACTTTATGTGTACACACTGTCTACACTGTGCTGATGCTGTACATCATAAAGCCAAAACACCCAGAAACATTAGCAGGCAGAGGTCATCACTGTCCCAACGGTTTCACTGGGACTAGTTTTTTATTTTCAGGCCTTCACATATATCGAGACCCTCCCAACATGCAGTAAAAACTGAAGCCTTCTTTGAACAATTCTACAAATTTGGCACAACGTTTTGGAGGTTTCTGCTTTCCTTTTTGGGAGAATTGTCCAAGCTTTGCCAGGCAGCTCAGTGAGTTTTTGAGCAGAGATGCACAAGATGCTTCCGGCACACAAAACTACTTCTGTGTTTTTCTGACTGCTTTGGGGAAATGTAAATCTTCCCCTCAGCCTTAGAGTTTTCATTCGAGATTACTCTCTGTTTTTCCATCTTTACCTTTATCTTGTGTGGGCTGAATAGGTATGAATACTTATATTATCCTGGTCTTGTTGCAGACAGAAACACTGTTAAGCTGCTTTCACTGTTTGACTATAGGGATAGTGTTATTGAGCTCAGCTTTTGGCTTCCTCCGCATGTGCTGATGGGAAATGTGGCCAAGTGGTTCAGTCTTTGTTTGATCAGACCGGAGGACTTGTTTTTTGTGGTCTGGAAGTCTTTTAGGTGCCTTTTAGGAAACTCCCAGCAGACTGTCAATTGTCTTTTAGTTAGGAAGGGCTTCCATATGGCCATCTCTACCATAAAGCGGGGAGTAGAGGAGTGCTGCACTCTGGCTCATTCCATCTCCAAAAAGAGAAACGTCCTCCAAACTTCCTCCATTTGAGAATCACTTAAGGAATATCCTGTTTTTTGGGGCTGCAGTTTGAAACTTTACAGCATCTGTTCTTTTCCTAATTATGCCCATTAAATTCAGTCAGGCACAGATGGAGTAAAGTTGTGCGAGTAGGAACACTTGCTTTACTTCTCTCTGGGATAACTTCCTCAGAGATGAAATGCCGGTTTGGTAGCAAGGCTACAAATACACACAGCTGATCAGGTGAGCACACGGCTCCGACGTGCTACGGTTATGAGGAGAGTTACGCCCTGTTGCAAGTTTTGTGAGGTGCTTTTTTGATATTTAATGAATCGGATTAAATTTTTAATTTCTCTCCGATATCCGATCCAGTAATTATGTCAGTATCAGACCGATACCGATACGTAATATCGGACCGGTCCATCTCTAGTACTGAATATCCTAGTTTTAAATATTTGAGTCTGGACCTCAGGTGTGAACATTTTTCATTACCTGCTTTTTAAGACCAAAGAATTAAAAACTGTGTTTCCCATTGTCTCAGCCCTCACTTCCCCCCTGCTGGTTATATCCATTAAGCCCCTGCAGGTCAGAACCACCTGGTTTATAAGCGCTCTGCAAACATTTCACATTTTTTAAACTATAAATGTAGTTAAAAGCTATTTAAACCTGTTTATTAATTTAATGTAGAGTCTTTGTTAGCAGTTAGACGTATTTTACATCATGTAACTGTTTTACAGTGTTGTCATACGTTATCTTTTTGTGCGCCAACCTCCACTTACACAAGTACCAACACATGAATCTGTTTACAACAACATCATAATATGTAATTTGTTAAATGATCATATACTGCTTTTAGATGTGCTTCAGATGTTGAAAATGGGACTCGCTCACACAGATAAATGACTGCAGCTCTTTAAAAGCTGCCATCTGTGAGCTGCACTGCTTTTATCACTCAAACTTGATGTGTGTTTAAAAGTTAAACCCACTCAGCTGACCTCAGTGCAGCATGTGCGGTTCCGCCGGTCACTCAGCGTATCGGTGGATTTTGTGTGTTTAAGTAGAAATGCCACAAGGAGTCATGAGGACAGCCGTGGAAGTGTTTGTGCTCGACTTCACAGACTATTATATTTGATATTTTTGAGGCGGCTGCGTTTCCTCTCTCTCCACACTGTAAGGTTTCCGAGGTCCTGTTTGAACGGTGTTTAGATGATTTGGAGACCCAGAAATAGCCAGGGTGGTTTTAAATCTCTCTGAAATTTGGCATGTGTTTCTTTTCAAGTCAAGCATTTCACATGAATCACCAGCTCACCTTTAACATCACCTGTTAATTATTTTACATCATAATTTCTCTTCCATTCCCTTCCTCTTATGATTCTGTGAACCTAATGTGTCGGTAAATGTATGGACCAGTTTGCTGAATTTGAAACAGGAAGAAATTCATTTCATTCCAGTGTTGAAACTCACCAACACTGGACCCATCTGCTCTAAGAAAAACTGACCAAACTTTATTCACATATTAAAACACTCCAACCAAAGCAGCTGACAAACAACAAGAACCAGATATTACACCAAAAGCATTTTAGTCTGTTAATTTCCATGCCAGGTATGTATTGTAGTCTTGTTTTCATTTCATTAGATATAAAAGGTGCTTTATATTCTTTGTCATGATTTTCTTTGTCAGCAAGCTAAAACCTTCACCTGTATGTCATTCACGCAGTTAACAGTTGGCACTGTGAGGAGGAAGCTAGAGACTTGTAAGCTGGTGTGCATCTCCTTAGTCACACATGTAAATGTTGTTTGAGAGGTTTGTGAAGCTAAATATGTCCACACATCCAGCAGGGAGACCTGGGAGGGGAGGATGGGGTGAATAAGGGGATGGCCTAATTTTGTAGTCCTGAAATAACATTTTAGCCACATTATTGTTTAGATGCGTACCGCAGAAAACGCCTCCACTGGTTTGCTAGATAAAGATTGGTGTTTTATTTATTTATTTATTTACATTTATGGACAAAACTCATCAATAAGCATTTCTGTAAATGCACCAGAGTTAGCCATGGGCTAGTTTTCATCTGTAGTCCCCAACTAGATCTTAAAAGCAACCTAAAAACAAAACAATATATTACATCAACATTATAGAAACAAATAAAAGTTAGAAAGAAGAAAAAAACATAACAGAAAACTCATACAAAAGGAAAGCAAGGTGGAAACAGGAGAATCAAACCAAATCAATGCTGATAAAACTGATGTTTGAAATTTGTATTCTGCTCTCTGATGTTGATGCGTACAGTGTTTCACAGCCTTTACAGAAAATGCAGACCGACCAAAAGAACTGAAAGCAATAATACACTCCTGTCTAGTCAGGTTCCTTGTAATTTGGTTTCTGTTTACCTCAGTGGCAGGAAACTGACTAAATTAGCTCAGTACTTTTAGCCTGTTTGCCTTTTCCATTCAAATCCTGCATGTGCAGCTTGGTATTGGATCCAAAAATGTCTGCATAAAAGAGGAATGTAGCAAAGATTTCAGCTTTATCAGCAAAAGAAAAAAAATAGTATGACTTATTTGAACAAGGATACCTGCCTAATTAGTGCTACGTAACACAGAAAATACAGTACTCGAGTTTAACTCACCAAAACAAGAGCAAAGACTTCATGGATGGTCTGTTATTAGAATTAACCACAAAGTGTGCAAACTTATGTGTGATCATTGCATTTAAAATGCCCTGAAAAGCACCAACGTCACAAACATGACTAAGAGGACATGACAAGTGTCCATCAGAGGAACTGCAGTTTCTCTGCCGCTCTGGCGGTGCCTTCATTTCTTCACGCACAGATGTTGCTGCATGGTTCGATTTTTACCAGCTGGAACAATAATGTGAAAAAACACTGTGGTTTTTATCAAATGTGATGTAAAAACAACTGAGAGCCACATAATTCATTTGAGTGACTGCTGACAAGAAAATAATTGTTACTGTGTACGTGACGGGTGGGGGATTGTGCGTGTTGTAGAAGAAGAAATGTTTTCTGATTAAAATTGCATATTATACATAAAACACTGTGTATATAAACCATTCCCAGGGCCCTTAGGTGAGCCACTGGTGCCTTACAAGTGATAGCAACCCACCAGTAAAAACAGCATTGTAAATTTACAGTATGGATAAAGAGATGCAAATTATTACCCAGGGAGGCAAAGAGTGACTCACAGATGAGTGAAAAACACAGACATACAAGAACTCAAGCCAAACATTCATACCATCACAAGAAAAGTAACCAAAGACACTGAAGGAGAGACAAAGAGAGAGAAATGTAAGAGCTGAATCTCCTGGATAACTCACAACATGTCAAGGCATGGGTCAGTTTTTATTATTTATAAGAAGTCCTCGCATCAATAATCTCAAATGAGAGTGAATACCAACTATCCAAGTGTTTTAGCACTTGGGTAGAAATAGAGAAGATTCCTTGAACTGTGCAATGAACTGATTTTTTTTTTTATCTGGAGAAGGGGTTATGTGGCAAATTAGGTAATGATAACAAATGATAACACTTGAATTGTTGCATAACATGGTGACAGAAGAGCTTCAAAATCTGTTTTTCAATCATTTAAAAAACCTTTGCAAACCTCTGGGGGGAGCTGGAGGAGAAGGGTCAGTGCTGAATAGCGCTCACTTGGCACCTGGGCAACCATCTGACGCTACGATTAGAGCAGACGGCGCTGATGCTGTCTGCCAGGTGTCCTCCACAGGAGGCAGATTGGAAATGAAAACACACAGAGAGGCGCGCGAACAGACTTTTCCCGAGATATATGTTCACGAAGGGATGGAAATCGCATTTTCAGCAGACAGCATGGGTGAGATGTCCGAGAGACCCCACAATGCAGCTGCTTTCCCACCCTGCCACCTGCCTTTTAAACTAATAGTGATTGTATAGACAACTTCCTTTGTAAGGAGGGGACAAAGTGGAGAGGAGAGATATTAGGATGGATGGAGACACATCAGCTGTGATTTGCTCATTTAGGCAGGAGTTGGACGTGAGAGTGGGTGTTTATGGTCCACGAAAACCATGAAGAGTTAATGCACTCTGCATCTCTGAATTGCATTATTGCAAATCAATTGTAGGCGTATTATAAGCCTTGTGTTTTTGATTAAGCATTACTGTTAAATGGCTTTATTATGGTGTGGTCGTGCTCACCATGTCTGGGGAGTTCTAGAGAGCTCATATATGTCACAAATGTTCAATCTGCAGATTGCGTGCTGAGGTCATCGTCCTTCAGGTCACCCAAGGTTGGTGCCATAGTTACAGCAAAAAAATACAAAAGCCTGAATTGCTCATTCAAGTGTTTGATAACCTGCACAGCCACCAGCAACAGAGAAGAATATCACAGCATGTCGAGTTCATTCAGTTTACGGTCCACAGTGGTCAGAAGTTCCCATCTAATGCAGAAAAAGTGCATTTAATAAAGTATTCATTTCAAGAGAAAAGGAAAATAGGTCATCAAATAGTTAATGACTTACAGTATTGTACACTATAAACAAAGAGGAGTCTCATTAGGGTGTCTCATTTGCAGCATGACACCTGAAGTCGCTCTTTACGTGACAGTAAAGCACAGACTTACTGCTGAAACAGATCAAATGCAGAGAATAAATTTGTCTGAAGGTATCAATAATGTATCTTTTCACTTCATGTAAATATTATTATCCTGCTTACTTCAATATAAAGTCTTTTGTAGACTAGACAACCTTCAAACAAGTTGGGTCATCCTGTGCCTGTGCTGCTTGACAACTTTAGTCAGTTTTGTTTTTTAAAAATATGACTTTTTTTTCTGTTGTTCTCTTAGTCTGGAAAATAACGAAATACACTTTTTATTTGAAAATACCCAAGTTGTGTAAATCCACTTCATACTCTTTTTACTAAATTGTCTCTACTTTTCCCCTCTACTTTGACAGCAGTAATTACTTTTCAGATTCAGATTTGACATTAAAGACACTTTTAAAACTGTGCAGCACATTGTTAAAGATTATATCAGTGCCCCCAACCTATTTCCGTGTGACCTTCTGCAAAGAGTAGTGCTTTTCAGATGTGCACTCTTTTCCTCTCTAAACTTCTCAGAATCTTTTATATAAGTAAGAGAAAAGTCCACACAGTGAATGCAGAACTTTGTGTTTCCTTGGAACCGATGGCATTAATCGTCTCACGACTGCTCAGCCTCATTCTGTGACTGTTTTGAAAAGCACTCAAACCCACCCCCAATATCTTAGAACTTAATTATTTGTGTACTAAGAAGCTGAATCCACCTCTGTCTCATCCAGCTACAATAAACTGCTGCTTATACACTTGTGCATCCGTATCGACGGTCTAATAATGCCACATAAATCAGTGTAACACACACCAAAACATTTGCTTTGGATGCATTAGGTACACTGTGCCTCTAATTCTTTTGAGTAGATTTTGAAACTGTGGTATTTTTACTTTCACCTTGCGATCTTCCTACATTTTGATGAAGCTAAAATATTAAAATAAATTCAGACCAACAGATGTGGATTAAAGCAGCTGTGTGTCCTTTTTGTGCCCCCTGTAGAGCTCACGGCCCTGACGCTCACATCCTGGACGAGTCCAAGATGCCCCCGCTGGGTGAGCTCACTCTCCCTCAGATGCTGCACATCGCTGCTCAGATTGCCTCAGGCATGGTCTACCTCGCATCGCTGCACTTCGTTCACCGTGACCTGGCAACTCGCAACTGTCTGGTTGGAGAGGGTCTGGTGGTCAAAATCGGAGACTTCGGCATGTCCAGAGACATCTACAGCACAGATTACTATCGGGTAAACGGCTGAAACATGAAAGGAATACTTGACTGTTATTCTTAATGGGACTGTAAATTTAAACAAGACAGAAATATTACTCCTTTACTTCACTACTACCTTGCCATTTGTTTCTGTTTTAACTGCTCTGACGTATTTGTCACTAAAAGCAAGATTTCAGCTATTTCAGTTTACTTTAAACAACACTGTTTGACGCCAATCTAATACATTTCAACGACAGGAAGTTTGAAGTATGTAAACCGTATCATGAATACATGCAATCAAACTGCAATTACTCCATTGTTGGTTTCCAGGCTAATCCCTCTTTGTTGCAGTCTGGGTCGCAACAGGAGGACACATCATGCAAATAATATTCTGGTTCCACAAGTGAAACCAGATTTCCACTTCTTTAGGATCCCAGAGATTTCATTTGATACATTTTACATGATACATAATTCATCTGTGTTTTTGGGGGTCTTTTTTCCCTCGTACATTCCCCACAAACCTGCATGTGTTAGACTGTAGTTCTGTTAACTGGTTAGCAAGAACTGGAAGTTCCAGTGTGGAAGTTCATTAATGCTACATTCTTTAATGGCCAGCAGATTTGAGAGAAGTTAAACTGTAAAGAAGTCTGTGAGAAAGTGAAACTATTTCTCACGTTGTGGCCTCAGTGAACATTTTCCTGATATCTTTATTTATTATGTTGCTATTTTCAGCCATTAATGAATATAAGGATATTAATTTTGTAGGTGATGGTCACCATTAAAGTGAAAAATGACAATAAACGATGGTAGCGCTAGCAATCAACTCATCAAGAGTGATTTACAAAAGCTTCGATGGTGATGAGCAAATGTTCAGATTGAACTGTTAGAAACAGGACTTGACTTGGAACAACGGGCGCCATCATGGCCATCATTTATATACAGCCAAAATATATTTTTATATTCTTCCAGCCAAAAGTTTAAAGATGCAAAACCCTTGTTGTCACTCTGAGTATTTGACTATAATCTTGTGAAATATGTGAGTGTGAAAAGCTCTAATTCAGTATATGAAACAATAAAAATAATAGTTAGATATATTTTTAAAAACCCAACTGAAGACAGCTGTTATCCTGCTGCTGTGTGAATGTATTTGAAACAAATCAAGGTGCGCTGTTCCTTTATCACATGTAACACACAGCAGGGGTTCTGATCTGCTCTCGGTACTGGAAATACTTAATCTGGAAACAGTGCAACCACTCACAAGCTGTGAATTCCCAATCTGACATCACGCAGACAAGTGAGGCTGCAGGTTAAAGATTGTTTCCTTTCTGTCTTGTGTTTCTCTGAAAAGTGAGGGCTGCAGTGCATGTGTAAACACAGCTGTACTGTTTTATTTGACTTTTATTACCCTCATTTTCATCTTCATACATTTATCCTTGGGTCTGTTAAAGCAGCTTAACACAATTCAGAGTTCAAATCTTATACCAGTTCGTCCACTACCTGAAAGCAACTGTTTGAGCTCGCTTGGCTGCTTCACCCAAATCAAATATTTGAGCAGGAACAGGTAATTCGGGCTTCTGTGTTCACGGCCAGAGCTTTTTTCATGAGATGACCGCTATTTGGAACACCTGCTCTCTGTTGCATCATAACAAACCGGGAGTAGAAAAAACTGTCTGAAACTCAGAGAGGAGAATGAATAGGTATAATAGGCCCACTCCTTCTCTTATTGAACTCAGTGTTTTGGATTTGTACTTTGAAGTATTATAGATCAAATACTAATATTGAACTTCTCTAGTCTCGTAAGAAGAGATATTTCAATTTTTCTTGTGTGAGGGTGAAAACATGATGTTGTCTAAGGAGAAAAACCATGCTCTAATCAACTGTAATTCTGTTAAAAATGACTAATGGGTTATTATGATTAAGCTACATAATACATATTCTGAAAAATACACTAAGATAAGAAGCACATGTGCTTTGTCTTCTCCTGAAGCGATTTAAACTGCAGGAGCAGAATATGTCGTGCATTTTGGATCTGTAAATCGCAGCATAACCTTTGAGAGACTGTGGAGTGTGTACTTTTAAAAACTACAGTCAAACCGGCTGAATAATAGCACTGGACTTTTTCATGTTGCTTCCCCTTGGTGGGATTTGAGAATTTGAAAATCGCTCAAATCTGTTACAGCAGGGTTTTTTTCAGAAGTGAGAAAGGTTCATTCCTGTTTTCACGTGAAAGGGTTTTACTCATTAACAGCATGTTGAGATCTCATAAATGCAATAAAAATTACAACCTAAGAGACTATCTAATATTATTTTTGTGGCGGTTAATCCTTATTTCCTTTTTTTATTTTGCATGAAACTACTGTAATAATTTTTAAACAGTCTGCCTATTTTTGATTTCAAGCTGGTCTCCCAGCTTGTAATAAGCAGCTCAAGATGAGTGGAAAGGAAAATCTATTTAAGATTTAATCTCATCAACAAAGCTAATTAAGGTTTCCATAATTAAAGTTCACTTAGTATTCGGTTCTTTATCTTCAGGTGGGTGGACGTACAATGCTCCCAATCCGCTGGATGCCCCCTGAGAGCATCATGTACAGGAAGTTCACGACGGAGAGCGACATCTGGAGCTTTGGCGTGGTCCTCTGGGAGATCTTCACCTATGGGAAACAGCCATGGTATCAGCTGTCCAATAGCGAGGTGGGTTGCAGTGGAAAAAAACATTATAAAATTGCGTTGCAAAATTTCGGTAGCCCTTTCTATTACAGCTTGGTAATAATGTGGTAATAGCGTGGTAACAAGGCACATACAAGCATGTAATAATGTGGTAATAGCAGGGTAACGAGGCAGAAACAAGAGTGTAATAATGCGGTAAAAGTTATTACACCTCAATTACAAAGTAAGACCAGTTGATATTAAAGTAATATCATGGTAGCAACAGTGGTTACAGTAATATTCCACTAACATTATGTAATGAGATAATAAGGGCCCATAACTGTGGCTATTAACTGATTATTACTTTGTAATTGAGTCGTAATAACTTAGAAATTACCAAATTATTATTAATTATATCATTCTTGTTTCTGCCTTTTTACCCTACTATTACCACTTTATTACTAAGCTTTAATAGAAAGTGCTATCAAAGTTTTGTTCCAGTTAGCTTTGCTTTCACACCGCAGTGCAGTGAAGAACTTAAAGCAACATACCTTCATCCTGCTGTCTCTACCTACATGGGTTGTGCGCTCTCTGTACTTCACACTGACTGTTCTGATGATGGGCATGTGCCTGATGGCACCAGTTAGCCTTCAATCAGCACATAGTTTTTAATCTGAATGAATGGAATTTTAATTGGTCACCTGGATATAAAAATGACCTTCAAATTTAATTGAAAAAGCTTCAGAAAGTGTGGTGACTGTGTCCTAAAATACCATAACCAAAAAAGCTTAATTTCTGAAAATACTGAACAGATTCCATATTGGTTCGTGTTATGGATACAATAAACCAAATAAATATTTATTAAATTAACAAGAAGTAGTAGATTTTTGCAGCTTCACTGTTAAAACTAGTCTAATGTGCAAATGCGCAGTGCAACAACATGAATATTAATTGGTTCATTTGGGGTCAAGGGTGGGACAACCTCCATCTGTGGGGTTATCATAGAGCGCCAGTCCTTCCTCTTTATATGATGGCATTCTCTCACTCAGCCATAAACACCTGTGAGCTGTGCCTCAGACCGGTCCCGGTCCCGGTCTGTGAGTCGTTTGGTACCGGTCCGCGAGAGTTGAGGCTCAGGTGTGAAATGTCTGGTTTTCAGGGTTTTTATCGGTTTTCAGCGTTATTTTGTTATCGTTTTTATCGTTAACTCGGTTTTCCTGGGTCTTTTCACGTGTGTTATGAATAAATCTTCTTTTTTCGGTACCGGTACTGGTTTTATTTTGTTGTATTTATCCGCGACACCTTAAAGGCCGGTCCGTGAAAATATTGTCAGGCATAAACCGGTCCGTGGCGCAAAAAAGGTTGGGGACCGCTGGTGTAGTAGTGTAAAAACCAAGTTTCAGTTGGATCTGGACTAAAGTCCCTCCAAGACTTTGGTTGTTTGGTCTGGACCCAGGTCAAGGAGAGGTTTCACATTTTGAAGTGTTGGTTTATGTCAGACTTAAAAGTAAGTCTGGACCAAACATGTTAGGTTTGATAGTTTCTTTAGATGACAAGACTGACAGCATTTATTTATTGGGAAATCACATGAAGCTGGAGCAAATAACTAGTTTAGTTTAGTCCCACTGGTTGGCTAGAAAGGAGGAAAACCATTCACAGTGTGGCCATGGGTGTAACCAGGCTTTAGAAATTAGAGAGGTCCACATTTTGTTTTTATTGTAATGTTTAATATTTTAGGGTTAGCACCTGTGCCAGAATGTCCTAGAGTTGCAATACAATCAAAACCATAAATTTTAAACACGGAGGACTTGATTTTATACAGCTTGTCTCTTTTACAGACCTCTGTAAAAGAGACAATTGTTTTATAAACAATATAAAACCATGAAATTAAAAATAAATAAATAATTAAAATGGCACAAAGGAGAAGGCTACCGGCCCTGACTCTCCTGTGTCTCTGATTCACTCCTTATACTTACAACAACCAGTTATCATTTCACTGAGTCATGCATAAAAGCCATCTCACGTCATGATTTATAACAACATACAGTATTTACTTACTTTTAATTACTGAGGTCCAGACTTTGGTAACCTTAGAGCTACCGGTAGTTACAGCTATGGATGCTGGGCAGTCTCGTCCAGTTCACAGTGGTTTTTTCTGAACGTTATGTTTTATATGCAGACATGCACATCATATCACTCCTCCATTCTAATTTTCCGTCGGATTTCAAATGAGCAATTTTACCAAATGTTAAAAATGTTTCCAAAAATGATATGTGAAAGTTTTTGTAGGAAAGAAAAAGCACTCACTGCAGTTATTACCCCTCAAGGATTCACCGATTGCTTTATTTTTAAGGATTATGATCTATGCACGACTGCTGGACATAAACTGGATATCCTTTTTATGTGGTTTGTGTAAATGTATGTAGCTTTGCCCAGAAAGAGTTGCTAGGTCCAGATTTCTGCAGAGTGCTTCCTTGCTGCATGTTCAGGCTTTAGTATTTCACTTTTTTAGCCTCGAGTTCAACACTGTGCTTACATTTCTTGATTTCAACTATTTATTTTGATGCAACTTAAGATAATGTCAAAACAATTAAAACAAACTGCATGAGTGGTGGTCGGCATGTTGTGGAAAACATGTTTAATTTAAATTCTGACTGTGCTGCTAATAGCATATACTAGCAAGCAACATTAAGTAGGATACAGAAAAATAGTTAACTGAAATCTTTAAAAAGATTTCACTTATGCACAACTTGACAGCCTACTTTTCCTTTGTTACACTTTTTTTTAACAAGCAAACGAGGTAAGCTAGTCAACGAGCTAACAACAAGGTAACAAGCTAGTCAAGCTAATTGTAGTTTGCGTCGTGGTTCGTACTTGCAGATGTAAAAAAAGGCAGACAAAGTTTATATAAAGTTTAATCAGAGCATAAGAAAGAACTTTTCTCACTGTTGTGTGGAGTTTGTAAATAATTTGTTGAGTCTTTTGTTCTTTTAATAAATGAAGTCAGCTTGAAGTAACTTCATTCTTGAACATGCGCTAATGCAAATACTTCTGTAAATAGCAGCCTGAAATGTTTTGGTGCCTTCACATAATTTAAACTTGCAAAACAAAACATTTTCACTACAGTCTCAGATACTTTACCCGGTGCTCTTAAACTAATCAATAAATTCATAGTAATTAAGGGCGGTCCAGTCTAGCCTTTTCAGCTCAAGCACCAAGAAGTGGGACTCCATTGTGACCACAGTGATGCTATTACAGGCTGTAGCCCTCTCTCCTTTCAAGAGAAGGGTAGATCACTTTTCCTTTGCACTCGATTCTAATCTCATTGGCTTTCATTTTTGCCCCTGGCTAATGAGCCGTAACCTCGTTAACCTAATCCGTCTCATCCAATGAAGGACAGGTAAAATTATCATGTTGCCTAATAAGTCAGTGGTGGAAATAAATCATCCCAAAATACTGACGTGACAGGCTGTGACGGCGGCGGACAGCATGAGTCTGCGTTCTGATTGATAGGCCATTTTGGTGCAAAGTGGCTGAGCAGCGACAGGCCTCTTGTGATCACCGGATCAGGCCGAGGTTAACAATGAAGAAGAGAGTCGCAGAGCACAGTGAAATCCTCTCTCTTATCCTCGACAGTGATGTATTCACTAAGCAACAGGAGTGTGTGAACTGAATCAGTCATTGCAGCGATTAGTGTCGGAGCTGGAGGTTGTTCATATTTCGGTGGCTCTCATTTGACTGCGAGGTCACGGCTAATTGACACATATTTGTGAATCTGTAGATAGTGAGGTTATTGTGCTGTTTATTTAAAAACATATTGTCCTTGGTGCAGCACATAGATATTTGGTGGTTCAGAAAGTCTCCGTGAATGAATCTATTGCATGCTCTTTTAAGGTTTGCTTTATAAGGTTTACATTTATCTCACTCTTCAAAGGTTTTTTTGTTTGAATGTTTTTGCTATTACTAACTTTTATAAACATCAGTCTATCAGCTGTTGTATTTTTCAGGCAGTGTATACAGTTATTAAAAATAGTTTTACCAACTGCAGCCATGCTGTAATACTGAATAATAGTCTTTTTCTTTATGGTCCTTTCACTATATTCAAATGTAAGTTTCTACTTTGTGGTATTTTTACTTTATTTATTTTCCAGTTATTATCACTGACTACCAAAGCATCTCACCCCCGACTCTATATATTACAAAGCATTCAATGCTCGTATTTAAATATTTAAATCTGATGACAGTAACGTTTTTTAAAAAATAAAATGCAAGGATACATCTCACAGAGGAGAATCTTTCCTTTTCTCCATCAGTTGGAGTTTCAGTGCTGTGTAAATGACGTGTGTGGAAAAATAGTTTCACAGCCTAACAATGACATGCCTCTGTCTTTTGTTATTATTAAAGCATCAGAGAATCCAGAGAAGTCTCTGCAAGTGATGAGGCTGAATAAATGACCTTCAGATGGCAAATATCTGAAAACCTTTGTGGGTGAACACAGTTTTTCACATCACCCACAAATGCAATTTTAAAACACCAAGACGGATCCTTTAAGGCTGCTTTCCTTTCAGCTCAAATCCTACAGAGAGCAAACACATTTAACTTTCAGAAATACAGAATCTGATCTCCTCAGCTCACAAAAGCTTACTATGAGGTGATGCAGTTGATACGAGTTGCACTTTCAGTTGTATTTTCAATTAAATATAAGCCTTCATTGATTTAAAGCTGCATTCTGTTTGTTTTACATCCGAACTTATTTTCACATTCTGACCAAATAAAGGTCTGAAAATAGGATTTAACTTGACTCTGGCAATGAACAGCCATGTTTAATATTGTTAACAGCTCCTTACAAAGATAATAACTTCAAACATAGAGATTCCTGACGACCCTCACTGGTCAACTTTTATTAGTACGGAGTAATTCTACAGAAGGGCCTCGCATCTTTGAAGTACTAAACTTAAAAAAACAAACAGCGTGTCTTTCCAGGAACGATGCTTTGTCATCCTGGGCAATAAACCGAGCAGCATAAACATTTCATTTAGAGACTAAATGTGTGCTTGCATGCTCGAGGTTTGGAGGGAGTACCAAGGACACTTAGTGCTAGAGTTTAAAATGTTTTTAGTGCTTTTAGCACCATACAGATAATTGTTATCCTCAGCTGTATTCAGGTGAAGCCGTGACTGTCAGAGAAAGATTTTCTTGGTTTAACAAATAAAAACCAAGACCAGAGCTGCATCAGCGTTGGACAGATAAATATAAAAAGATATTATAGCTTCTGCCCTCCTCACAATGTTGACAGATTAATTTTTTATCTGTATAAAAAAACATCTTCTCAGTACATGTCACCACCGCTTGTTTCTTTTTTAATAGAAACTAATAAACGAGAAACAACAACTAAACTTTGCTGTAAACAACTTCTCCCTCCTGCTTTACAGCTGTAGACTTTTGCAAACATCCACCACCTGCCCACCTCACTATTCTAATAGCATGTTATTCATTAATTCTCTAACCCCACGTTTCTTCTGAATGGGATCTGTAATGTCTGATCAGGCTGCTTTTGTTAGCTTTCTTGTTTCATGTTCAATGCTGGAAGCGAGTTGATGCAGCCAGTGGATCCACGGTGCTGATTTACAAGAAAACTGCCCTCACTGAGTGAATTACTGGTGCTAAAAGATGATGATGCTGCGACGTCACTGTGCTGGTCTTCTGACAACAACAAATGGACCAATCACATTGTTGTGCTTTGTGTTGGATGGGTGAATGCAACACAGAACCTTCACATACAGAAGCTGGTTTCTTGTACTCAGTGTGTGAAATAAATTTAACAAACTTTACATTTTAAGTTGCATTTTGGTTCATTTTTTAAAAAAAAAGGTGATCCTTTTTTACAGCATAAGCACTCATGTATATATCATGTATATATCTATCCACTTAGCACTTTAATTCTTATTCTTATTTTATATTTTTATGACAGTATGTTGCACTGAAGCACCGCAGCAATTTCCTAATGTTGTAAACCTGCTCAACATCTGGCAATAAACCCTTTCTGATTTCTGATTTCTGATGTATTTAAAAAAAACCTTTCAGGCTTTATGGCAGTCAAACTTCTCTCATTTGCAGACTTTGCTTCCTGCTCAACATTAATGACTGAAGAAAAAGGTTTTGCTCATTTTTGATGTGAAACTTTTAGATCAGACTCAGATATAAAGGACTGGTAGGCTCTAACTCCATTAGAAAGCCCGTTAATAAGACGATGTGAACAGAAGCCCTGAGAACAGATTAAGAATGCGTCTTTTATTCTGGCCATTAAAAAATGTATTTTTCCCTCCTGTTCCACAGGCCATTGAATGCATCACGCAGGGACGGGAACTGGAGAGGCCACGCACCTGCCCGAAGGAGGTCTACTTGCTGATGCAGGGCTGCTGGCAGAGAGAGCCCCAGCAGAGGATGGTCATGAAGGACATCCACAGCCGTCTGCTGGCCCTGGTCAAGAACCCCCCGGTTTACCTGGATATCCTGGGCTAGAAGGGCCGAGGGCCAACCAGGCTGGGGAGGTTGGATTTTTGATTTGAGATATAAAACTTTAGTCTGTTACTCATTTAAGTTCAACTGCATTCTGCTTTTCCAGCTGTGATGCTTCGTGGGCAGTAACATCTGCTTTGACCTTTTTGGCTGCAGTTTTGCCTCATTCTAGCTCGACTTTGACCCCTTAACTGGTTACTGCCCCGTCCTTCTCTGGAAACCTGTCACATGTTTACCAAAGTGTTTAATGTTTATCTGAGGTGGGATCAGTCTGATGGAGGAGCGTGCATGGATAAGAACTAAAATAACTGCATAGGCTCTTGCTGGGAATCTACTGCCACGTGGTGTCTGGAGTCCCTTCATCAGCTGAGCTGCGACACATTTTAAATGACTTTTAGCTGACGTGCTTGTGTTGGTTTAGAAAGCAAAAACTCGTTTTACAGATCTTAGTACAGCAGATAGTCATTTGTATAGTACCGTCACTGATTTTGGATAAGTTTTGATATAGAGGGTTATTAAGAAAACAAAGAAAAAAAGCTTTCATTGATGTATATAAGATAGTCACAGCCAAACTTTGTTTCTCACGTGTCAGATTGAGTGTATCATATGAATATTTTTCAGAAAAAAAAAGAAGAACAAGATGTCAGACGTTAGCAGTGAAAACGTTTCCTGGTATATCAACGACTGTGTTTACATTTAATTACTGTCAAATATGAACTTCCAAAGAGCGACTTTTCAGCCTGCGGCCGCTATTGAGACTCGCTCAGGAGCGGATTTTGGACAGATCAGCCATGTTTAACATGCTACTGTAACGACCTTCAGAATCAAAGTGCTGCAGTGAAATTTGGTAAGGGGGCAAGCTGGTGGGGAGGTGACACCCCGAGAGGTAACAGATGGGTTAAAGCGAGACTCCAGGAGGAGGAGGACAGATGGCACTGAAAGTGAAACTGGAGGTGAACCCACCACCGTAACATTTGTCATTCCACCAAATGGGGCATTGAGAGGGTGAAAGACCGGGTGTGTAAACCCCTGCGATGCCTTTAAGTGTACATACTGAGTGTATATACTCTGTATTAATGTCTAAAACAAAATATATATATATATATCTTCATGTATTGTTACTCCAGCACTTTGTATATTGTCTGCCCTTAAAAATAAACAAACTTGATTAAAAAAACGAGGCTGCAGTGTTCGCAGGAACATCCCTCTGCATCAGTCAATCCATCATTATCGTATGCTTCAGACTGAACAATGATTTGGACTCCTGTCTGTACTTAAAGTTAGACATCTTAACAAGGCTATTCAAGAGCCTTCTATTATTTTGACGAACTAATCAGCAACCTGCGACGTCTCCACGGGATGCTCAGCAGACGGTTATTGAAAAGGAATAATCAAGTTTCATATTGCTTTACCGCGGGCCCTCCAGCAAACAAACACCCTCCAAAACCCAACTCTCTCTTTCTCTTCATCTCTCTGCCTTGCCCCCTTCCTTCATCACCACCACCACCCTCCCTCGCCCCATCACTTCATATGCAGAGCGCCTCCGGGGAGTGGTAATGGATTGTGAGTAATGCTATCATCCCCTTCTTTCTCTCGACCTCCTCTGGCGTACCGGGAGGGGGATGAAAAACACTTGGACCCGTGTCTGGCTCATTGTTTCTTGTAGTGTCTTACAAGCAGATTCTGGGGAGATAGGATTAGTACACTCTGTAGTATTTGTCCCTGTTATCCTTAAGGGCTCCATTTGTGGTTTCAGAATGAACCTTTTTAATAAGCACTCGAGGCTCCACCCTGGTTGGATGTGGAATATGAGTATAATAAAAGCTGGAAATGAGGCCATTTTTAAAATGGAAGTCCTATTAGAGCTTTGCAGCAGGATACTTTCCTTTTCAATCTTCCACCTAGTCATATAATGCATGTATACAGGATATTGATTTCTTATGGTAATTATTTCTTCATGATAATGGTGGTGCCGATTCATTTTGGTCTACTGCTAATAATAAACCACTCAGTGTGCTTTACCGTCCATCCTGCAGCGAGAGATTAGAGAACAGGAAGAGAAATGATTTAGTGAATCAAACCAAAGCAGAAGAAACCTGCACAACCTGAGAAGATGTGAGATAATCTGCAGATTAAAAATATTCACTTACAAATGGCTACGCACAACTATTTTACATCCCCACATTTAAAAGGTCTTATTATTATTGACCCTCAATTCAAGGCTTTTAAAAGCAAACGCATCACCTCTGTGAGGGGGTTTAAGATTCCAACTACAACACTAAAAATACATTTTGAAGTCTGCAGATTTTCTCGTCCAGCAGCTGGTTTTTCCTGCAGACAAATGTTCACTCTGAGCCTGCGGTTCATTTCTTTACAGATAAAGGCTGCTCAGCAGCGACGAGCACCTCAAACTTAACAGGATGTGTTTGCTGTACTGTTCTGCCCTCTGCTGGCCAGTCAGGCACACTGCTCTGATTCCAACAAACGTTGAAGTGAGGATCTGCAGTCATTCATCGAGAAAAGACAAATTGTGAATAAAGACACAGTGACCAGTTGCATATATTTAACAGATTACTGGGTAATGTGGGAAGTCCTTTTGTGTACAGTTTCCACTGTTACATTAAGTGAAATCAGATTAGTGAAAAAAAAAGAAGAAAGAAAGTTTGCTTTTTGATATCACTCCATACAATAATTCCATTTATAAAAGGTTTCATTTATTACACAAATCTAGTAGAACAAAGCAGCAAATTACAAATTACACACGGCAAAGAACAAATAAGGATTTATACATTTCAAGAGTAGTTTGTGTTTTGTATCAAAAGAAAAACTTGTATAAAACATTAAAAAAAAAAGGCACCAATAACTTTGCCCCTCTTTTTAAAAATTCAATGGTTCCTCCTACTCTTGTCTTTGCGCTTCTCATCACTCAACATCCATCCATAAAGTGTTTAGAAAAATGCCACAGGTGCTCACTTTTCCGGCTGTTATCGCCCTGAGGGTAACCGTGATCTGGTCTGGAGAAATCATTGATACGTTGGTCAAATAAGTGCAGATTGAAAAAAAGGAAAAAAAAAAAACGATGACGTGAGCATGACTGAGTTTTAGAACTCTGGCACGTCTGCAAACAGTAAACGGCTGCGAATGAGTAAGATGACACGAAAATTCCCCCCAGACAAACACCAGCTCAGAAGTAAAGGCTTCCAGACAAGTCTAGTAGAATCGCATTAAGTCGGTAATGATGCAATTCCAAGAATCAAGAGGCTCAAACAGAGGAATGCTGTAAGATGACGCCTGTAGAGAAAATAAAATTGATCCACGCCTGGCAGGGGAGGAGATAAAACAAAGGAACACCGATGGCAGCGTCTGCCATGGAAAGGAAGATGTGACTTTATACTCTGCACACTGACCTCGAACACATCTTAAAAACAAGTGCTCTAATATAAATGTGTGTGTGCGCTTTGTGATTCTACACTCGCCGCCGACATTTCTACTTCAGCGTCCGACATGGACCTGTAACACACCTCAGTCCTATAATATCACATACATTTCCCCTCTGATCAACTTCTCCACCACGAGTGTTAAAATATGCGTGTGTAAAGGGCGATGATGAAGTAATGATGATGTAAATCTGTCCCATAAAAATGCTCAACAATGGGTTTAATACAGTACAAGCACGACGAGCATCAGTGCTACAACTGAGAGGTTTAGTAACGTAAGACCCAGCTTCAATCCTGTCAGTATTATGCGACCTTATATGCTGATTAATGACTTGTTGGATTAATGGATCTTATCAAGTTTTTTTGTGCATTATTGGGAGTAAATTTCTCTTTACACAAGTGAGAAATATCCAAAATAGCCTTTTTAAAAAAAA